CTTCGATTGATACTTCCAGATTCTTGTTGCAACAAGGGTTACCATTTCGTGGCCATGAAGAGAAAGAAGAAACTGCTAATAATGGTAACTTTGTGGAACTCTTGAAATACACTGCTAAACAAAACGAAGTTGTGAATAATGTTGTTTTGAAAAATGCTCCTGGGAACAATCAGATGACGTCTCCAAAGGTTCAGAAAGATATTGTGCATTGTTTTGCAGAAGAGGTGGTCAAAACTATTATCGAAGAAATTGATCATGATGTATTTGGTTTGTTGGTCAATGAGTCTGCAGATGTTTCTAATAAGGAACAAATGGCAGTGGTGTTTCGATTTGTTGATAAAAGTGGGATAGTCAAAGAGAGATTCATAAGTATTACTCATGTGAGTGAGACATCTTCAGCATCTTTGAAAGATGCTATTGATTCACTGTTTGCTAAGTATGGATTAAGCATTAAATATGTGAGAGGACAAGGTTATGACGGAGCAAGTAACATGAAAGGTGAGTTCAATGGACTATGATCTCTAATCTCAAGGGAAAATACATCAGCATATTATGTCCATTGTTTTGCTCATCAGCTTCAACTGGTTGTAGTGGCGGTTGCCAAAAAGAATTTTGGAGTTAGAGATATTTTTGATATGATTTCTGTGTTGTTGAATGTGGTCGGAGCTTCATGTAAAAGAAAAGATATTTTCGAGAGAGACATAGAGAAACGATTGAGAAAGAAGTTAATGATGGTGAACGCAATACTGGGAAAGGGTTAAATCAAGATGTTTCTCTTCAAAGACCAGGAAATACTCGTTGGGGTTCTCATCATAGAACTTTATTGCGTTTGGTTGAGGTTTTTTCATCTATCGTTCATGTGCTTGAGTGTGTTCAAAATGATGGCATAGAAGACTCGAGAAAACGTCAAGCACATGGTCTCCTGAGATATTTCAATACCTTTGATTTTGTGTTCTATTTACACTTGATGGTACATCTTTTAAGACTCCATATAGTTTGTCTACGGCTTTACAAAAGAGAGATCAAGAGATTTTGAATGCCATGTCATTGGTGACATCAACTAAGAGACAACTGCAGAAGTTTAGAGATGATGGATGGAATTCTCTCTTGATGAAAGTTTCTTCTTTTTGTAAAAAACATGCTATTGAAGATCTCGACATGGAAGAAGATTTTGTTGACCCAAAGAACCCAAGAAAAAAAAACAGGAGTGACAAATGGACATCACTTTAAGGTCAATTGCTTATATGCTGTTTTGGATTTGCAGATTCAGGAGTTCAATGATCGCTTTAATGAGGTGAATACTGAATTGCTTATTTGTGCTGCTTCTTTATCTCCAATCGATTCGTTCGCTCAGTTTGATCAGTCAAAATTGATAAGGCTATCGGAGTTCTACCCATCTGATTTTAGTTCTGGAGAGTACATATCTCTTGAGCAACAATTAAATATTTATATTGATAATGTTCGAAGTGATGAAAGATTTACTCATTTACAAAATCTTGGAGAACTTGCTCGTATGTTGGTGGAAACTCGAAAACATACGATATTTCCTTTAGAATACAGGCTTTTGAAGTTGATTTTGATTTTGCCTGTTGCTACTGCAACTGTGGAGAGATGTTTTTCAGTAATGAAGATCGTGAAGAAAAATCGATGCAATCGGATGGGAGATCAATTTTTGAATGATTGTTTGATTTGTTTTGTCGAGAAAGATGTATTTCAGACTATTATAAATGAGTTTGTCATCAAAAGATTTTAGGATATAAAAAATTGTAGAATTATTTTGTAGAGTAGAATAATTTTTGTAAGACTTTTTTATATTTTAATAAAAAATTTTATTATTTATATTATAATTATATTTTGATCCAGGATTAAAAAAAAATCTGGGGTCCGCCACTGATTGAAGTTATAATGAATAAATCCATGGCACAATACTTTTTACTCGACCAACAATCAGCTCACCGTTGACTATTTGTGGGTCATTAATACGTAAGTAATGTCCTGTGTAAATAACACAAAATTGCATGTAATAGTTTGCATGGATAGTAGACTATTGGCCAAGTAAGAGCCATATCATACCATATAAATGAAGAACAAATTTAAGAAAGATACCATGTCTCATATTCAATTTCTATTTTCAAATATTTGACCACCCAAGTAAGTGTATCTCTATGTTCTAGTCTTCCATCAGAAAATATGAAACCTCGATCGGGTCTCATTATAGCCAAATATATCAAAGCTTAGAGGAGTTAATTAGACTCAAAATCATTAAACATGATAAACGACAATGAACTCTCTAAGGTCGAGGATTTCTAATCGATATCAAGTATTTGAGTCTATATTTCCATTCTATCTCTTTTTAACTTTGTTCACAAATTCACAATCGGCCAATTATTGTAACTTTGATGATGTGTCGCAATTTTATTGATGATGTGACTTGGAAATTTAATCGAAAGTTGGAATTTTTTTTTTTTTTTTTAAAAAGTTCGATCTGGCTGTATATATAAACCTAGACATCGATCAGGAGTCAAAAGCCAAAAATTAAAAAGCCTAATCAAGAAAAAGACCTAATTGATAGCCAAACAATGTCTCTGACAACTTTCTCTTCCTATGGAACTATCAAATTCTTTTTCATCATCATCCTTTTGATTGACTCTTCCATGTCGAAACCTATGATGGAAACAACAACAATCAATCCACATATTGATCATCCACATGAGGTTGACCAGAAATTCCCGATTTCAACATCGATTTGGGCTTATCGTTACGGACGTCGTCTTCGCAAGGAGAGAGTAGAGTATACCGAGATAGACTTTCTGAAAGAGAGGATTCGAGTATTGCAAAAAAGAGTTGACAGGAGAGAGGAATACGTGAACAGGATTCTTAGGTGGTTCCACAAGAATAACGATAACTTGCGGAACAAGAGTAGTGAATGTTCGTCGTTGCTAGATCTCTTAGACCCTGTTCCGTTCTTCTTCTTAAGTAGAGACGACGACACGGCCTGAATTGGTTACGTTTTTTTTTTAAAGGGTTTTCTAGTTTTTCAGTTCTTCTGTAGTTTTTTTTTTGTTTTAAGCTTCATTCTTTTTTGTTTTCTTTTTGTCACAAGATTTTAATGCTTCATTCTTGTCTAGGTTTTTTGCGTTTTCATATTTAGAATAAAAAAAAAATTATCATCAGTCTACCAAAAAAAAGAATACCACCTAGGCACCAATCTAGTTCTTCCGAATCTATCCAAACCGCAAAAAAACATAGCAAACAAAAAAATCGAAAGCAAAATAAAATGGTTTTAAAAGAACTAATTAAGTGGGCATATTCGATTCATTAGCATTTATAAAATTTTATTAATAATCCAAAATTACTGGATTCGTCATTTGTACATATATTCTTTAAAATTCTCAGCTTATTGGAAATTCTAAATTTGTTTCAATCAATCGGTTAAAATGGGTTTACTTTTTCATGTATTTGACAAAGAAAAAAAAAAGAAACACAAGAGAAAAAGACCAAAATAAAATAGAAGTATTTATATCTTTTGCCAGCTTAGAAACTGATTAAAGAAAAAAGTTTGGTTAACCAAGCCGAAATGTAGATCTATTAAATATTTAGTAAAACCAAACCGAAATGTAGATCTATAGAAATTTTTAAAATGTGTATATTGAAAGAGAATCAAAAGTTATTTTCCTTTTGAAAAATCTAGAGAATATTTCTCAAATCTATATCATATATTACCCAACTTGGAGAGACTATAGTCAAGCTTGGCGTGCAATAGAGAAACAGACCACGTGGAAAAGCCACTTGGTCTAACGAAGAACTCGGCCATCTAACTAGTTTTTGCTCTACATTCAAGACAAGTCTGATTTGAGGGTGCAGCATGGTACTAGTTTACTCTCCATTATACATGTTTTTGAGGGTGCAGCATGGTACTAGTTTTGGCCGCTGTCGCTACCGCAGCGTCTCCGTAAAGAACAGACCATACGTCTTTCCGAACTACGCTGGAAATTTCATCCTCCAGGAGGAGGAGGTTGCTGTGGTCTTTGTTTTTGATGTAGATTATACTTGTGCGATTGGAAGTGGTAAGTTTAATAAGCCAAAAGCTATCATCGTTGGAAACGATGGATACTTCAAATCTGTGAGGCTAGAAGATGCATACTTCATGTCGCATAACATTACTCCCCCACATGTGTCTTCTTTTTGTCCAAGTCTGGTGCAAATCAAGGAACCTTGCAAAAGCAAATGGAAATAAAGAGAGAGAGTTGTACGCTGGTAGCTTGTTCATCGAATAGTAGTAAAAGGTCTTCGATGGAAGATAAGTAAGACTTTCAAATTCATGTGAATTTTCTTGTTGATATGCCATCGTCCATTTATTTCTGTAAACCTTTTATTTGAGAGAGCAAATGTCATTTCTTTCGGTAGGCTTGTTTAAACTAATTATTTATCTTAGCATTATGACATACTATGAAACTTCCTCAAAGTCTTATCTCGGCATGCTGTCTAATTTCCCTTGTTACTGTATTTGCATATCTGAAAGTCTATTTGAAGATGTGCATTTAAGGAAATGTTCGTGATCTTTGGCAAGTAAGATATTGAACCTCTCGTCTCTTTCTTAGCATGTGGTTGAAACAATAGTGCGACAAGATCTGAACGAAAGCACTCTGGATTTAGGACTTAACCAACAGTTTTGGATACTACAAATCTGTGAGGCTCAGAGATACATACTTCAGCTTGCATAACTTTTCTGCCCCACTTGTGTCCTAAACAAACTTGGCAAAAGCAAAAGGAAAGAAAGAGATGCTTCTTCATCACCGCTTATTTCGTCGACTGCTAAGTCATTTATTAGTTTACCTTGTCTATATTTCTTTATATTCTACAAAACAAACTCGGATTCTTGCATGTTTTAGCACATTTCTGTTCTTCTTTGTTACTTATTCAGTTGCAAAATAATAAGCAAGTTTTCTTCCCTTGATGTTGATCTCTTCTCTTATCGTAAAGAAACAGAAATAATCAAATACGTAGAAAACCACAATCCCGCGTTCTTATAGACTATAGTCAAGCTTGGCGTGCAAAAGAGAGTCAGACCACGTGGAAGAGCCACTTGGTCTAACGAAGAACTCAGCCATCTAACTTAGTTTTTGCTCTACATTCAAGACAAGTCTGATTTTTCAGTTGTGTGAACAAAATAACAAAAAAAAAAAAAAAAAACTTGAAACAAAATGGAATCCGATTACATCAAAACATAGGTGCCTTCTCTTAAAAACAGAAACAAACATCTAATCTTTCTTTTCTCTCCATTTGTTCTTCTGGTTTCTGCAAACACACCAAAACAAAGGGGCTTAGAATTGTGGTTCCCAAAAGTACAAGTAAACAATCGTTTTCACATAATGCAAGTAGACTAAATACTTCCCTTGAAAAGCAAAAATGGTTAGCAAACCTCTCAAATTATCAAATTCTACACTCGTATCGTATAACTGCAACCATACAACTACGGTTTCTATCTATGTAGCAATAAATCAATGAATTTTAAATGCTTCAGACTCAGATGTTGAATTTACATCACTAATATATAAGAGCTTCCAAAATGACCGAAATCAGAACACCATGATAGAAAAAAAAACGTTTGATATCTCTGCTATGTAACCAACTTAAGAAAATAGAATGAATAGGTAAGTGAGTGTGCTATGAAAAGGCAGAAACTTGGTAGTATACAATATGTCTGACCAAAGACTTTTATTCTATGGTCTAATCACAGGAGAAGCATAATGCAATAATGAATCCTCACAACAATGTAACACATGAACTGATACAACGATCCAGTAAACTAACACATGCATGATGATCATGAAACACAATAATCGATGCAATAAAGAATCCTCACAACAATGTAACACAAGAATTGATACAACGATCCAATAAACTAACTATCATGCATGATGATCATGAAACACAATAACTGATGCAATCAAGAATCCTCAGAACAATGAAACACAAGAATTGATACAATGAAACACAATAATTGATGAAACGATCCAATAAACCAGCTATTATGCATGATGAATATGAAACACAATCATTGATGCAATGATCTAATCAGCTTAACTAATATGATGAACTCCATCAATTGGGCATATTCGTCATCAATATCATTTACATAAGGCAACTAGAATTCTTCAAATACATCGCATATCAAACAAATCGAATAAAGAAGAAGGAATCACCTAAGTGGCACCGACGATGATGTTGTTGATCGGAATAAAGATGAGCTTGACAAAGAACCCGACGAATCCCATTACCACGAACCCAATCGCGGTACGAACAGCTACTTTCGTGAATTCTACAACACAAAAAGACGCAAAGTCAAAACCATCGTAAGCCGATACAGAGATCTAGCTTCCAATCTGGATATCTGAAACCACAATTTTCAAATCAGAGTAATTAATACCTTTGCGATCTGGTTTGTGGCAACGCTTAACGAGGCGAATGCTATCCTTAGCGAAGTCTCTGAGAGGATCGACGACGGAATCGATGGCGTCCATGGCGATTTATCGTTGATTTGCTTTCGATGATCTGAATCTCACAGTTTTGTGTTAATTTGGTTTCTGAGAGGAATAAAATCGAAGGAAACGATGAAAGAACGTCACATAGTTTTTGACGGCCAATGATAAAGCGAAGTTGATTACAGGTGGACAAAGTTACCACGTCAGCAAAATTTACTGTAGTATTGGGCTCGTAATCATTTTAGGGCCCAAGTCCATTACATCTAAGCTAACATTTTTTTTTTCAATTTCTTACAAATCTTATTCAAATACATGAATTATGAACTTTTCTAAATATTACCACAACCTAACGAAAAATGTACAAACTTTTGTAAAGTCTTCTGTGTGTAAGGTAAGATTTATATGTATTTAGAGCATGTTTATCGGGCATTTCTTAGTGGATTTCTAAGATTTTTTGAGCCCAAAAAAAAAATCAAAAATAGCATTAATCAACAAAAACGTTTTTTATTTGATATACAAGAGAGAAGTCTCTTAGTGAGTACGCGGCGGGCCTTGATTGGGTTGCTTTTTGACAATCCAATTTTTTTTCCCCTTTTTCTTTTCATCTCCTTTTCCCAATTTTTTTTCATCTTTCTCTGGTTTCTCTAATGTATCTCTACATTAATCAATATTTCTTAATAAGTCTATTAACTAAACAATACTACTTAAATAATACTTAAGAGATTTATGTGGGTCTCTCTAATAAACATGGTTTTATACATGTATATACATATATATTATATATTAGAGAGAAAGAGACGTGAGAAAGAGAAGAGAGGAAGAAGTGATTTCTTCTTATCACACACACATTCTTTACAAGACTGAGGCAACATATTTATAGTACAAGTAAATTGATAAACTAATAGCATGGCAAAAACCTCAGCAATGTGGGTTAATGAGAAACCTATATTTTGAGTTGGTAACAAACTTATCTATGAAGGAATGGTAGGTAGATAATTATCTATTTATAACACTCCCTCTTAATTATCCATTACTACTAATAATGTATTACGTACTGCCTCATTAAAAACCTTATCATAAAAAAATCTATTGGGATAAAAACCATGGTAAGGGAAAAAGAGTACAGAAACGTAATCTCCCTCTGGAAGTGATGAATATAAATTTTCTTCATAGATCTCTCAATCGGCGCATTCCAATACTATGTACATGTTTTCTGAATGATGTAGTGGGAAGCGTTTTTGTAACTCGAGCGAACATATTGGATATCCACTTCCTGATTCTTCTCTAGTTCTTGAGTGTAAGAGAAAAATTTTGGAGGAATATGTTTTGTTCGATCGCTCTTGATAAAACCTTCCTTGAGTTGAGCGACACATGCAGCATTATCTTCGAACACTTTTGTTGGTTCCTTATCAATGACTATTCCACTTGCACCTTGAATATGTTGAGTCATAGATCGGAGCCATATGCATTCTCTACATGCCTAATGGAGAGCAATGATTGCCGCATAATTTGAAGAAGTGGCGACCAAAGTCTGTTTTTGAGAACGCCACGAGATCGCTGTTCCACCAATTGTGAAAACATATCCAGTTTTCAATCTAGCTTTATGCGGATCTGATAAGTATCCTGCATCTGCAAAACCAACTAGACCAACTTTGAGGTTTCTAGGATAAAATAAACCCAGATCAATCGTACCTTGGAGATAACGAAAAATATATTTTATTCCATTCCAATGTCTGCGCGTAGGAGATGAGCTGTATCTTGCAAGTAGATTAGTAGCAAAGGCTATATCTGGTTGAGTACAATTTGCAAGATACATAAGCCCACCGATAGCGCTCATACAAGGTACTTCAGGACCTAATACGTTTTCGCTATCTTCACAAGGTCGAAATGGATCCTTGTTAATATCAAGTGATCTATTGACCATTGGAGTACTCAAAGGAGTTGATTTATCCATTTAAAGCGTTTTAACACCATTTTGGTGTAATTTGATTGATGCACAAATATTCCGTCTTGGAAATGCTCAATCTGGAGCCCTAGACACAATTTTGTCTTTCCAAGATCTTTCATTTCGAACTCTTCTTTCATGTGAGTTCTTGCATCATCAATCTCCTTTTGAGTTCTGATTATGTTCAGGTCATCGACATATACAGCAATGATCACAAATCCTGATGAGGATTTCTTAATAAACACGATGTGGCATATCGCATTGTTTATGTAACCTTTACTCAACAAATATTCACTCAAGCGATTATACCACATGCGTCCGGACTGTTTTAATCCGTAAAGTGATCGCTGTAATTTGATAATAAAAAGGCTTAAAGCCATCACATTACTTAAAATCTGATACACCAAAGTTTAAAATCTGATACAACAAGAGTCTAAATCTCATAAAAACACAGGAAACTTAAAACCTGATACACCAAAGTTTAAAATCTGATACAACGAGTCTAAAAACACAGGAAGCCAAACACATAGAGCTCCCTAAACACAACTCCACAAACAATCAATCTCTTCAAGACATATGTCTCTCCTACCAACTCCTTCATTTCTTTCTCACATCCTTGTATCTCGGTTTTCAGAGAATCCATGTTGTTTTTCATATCTTCAATCTCATTCTTCATATCTTCAATCTCTTTCTTCATGTCTTCAATTTCTTCTACCATTCCTTCATCAGTCCATTTAAACAAATGGTAGTTGTCCTAGCACCAGATCAAAGTAACAAAATTCAGATTATAAACCCAGCTACCACAATAAAGTTAGATTCATTAAACTATTCTCTTTACCTTTTCAGTCCGATTAGGACAACAATGGAATAATCTTCCTGGATTTTTTGAGGTTCCTAAAGTTCTTATCCAAGTGGAGCTTCCACAAATACAAGTTCTCGGCATTCCTCTAAATCCTTCCGCACCACAAGTTCTCATGCTTAAACTATACCCTACAAATTGACATTCAAATTGTAACTAAACCCTAGATCCCAAAATCGAATTTACTTCACAATAGAAGATTTGGGCATACCTGAATTCTCGGAAGAAGCCCTTTGGCTCGAAGATGACGCCATTCTCTTCTGTCTTCTTCTACACCCCTAAAACCTAGTTGAGAGTTTTTCCCCAATTTTGAATATAGATAGACATCGACGAAGAAGAGAAAGAAGAAGATCGATGCTTCTTAAAACACATAAAAGTAAAACGACGTCGTTTACCTTGTTTTTTAATGACGAATGCGAAGAAGCTTTATATTTATCAACTGGTGATGGTTTATTGATTTCACACATGGTCCACTGGTTCTGAAGTCCGTTTGAACGCAAACAGGTTGCGGGTTCGAATCCCTGAGTTTGTAAAAAAAAATTTAAACCCAGATTCATTAAAAACGACGTCGTATTCTCACTACAAGAAAACATTCCATTTACAACGACTATATTCGTTGTAAAATCGTTATAAACAGGGCTTACCATCGATTCGTCGTTAATCGATCGTCGCTAATACGAAATCGTCGTAAAATCATCGTAAATTAGCGACGAATGAAAATCGTCACTAATTTACAACGATTTTACGACGATTATTTATTTTTATTTAAAAAAATAAAATCGTCGCAATCCATAATTATTTATTATTTTATATTTAAAATAATAATTAGCGGTGGTGGCCGGTGGTGGCCGGTGGTCGCCGGTGGTGGCCGATGGTCGCCGGTGGTCGCTGGTGGTCGCCCGTGGTCGCTGGTGGTTGCCGGTGTTGAGTCGCCGGTGTTGGCCGGTGGTCGCCGGTCATCACCGGTGGTGATCCGTGGTGGCCGGTGGTTACTCTGATGATAGTGGTACACCGATTGTTTAATAGTTATGAGTAAGTATATATATACTAGAACAAATTTTCCAAAACTACCGATTTGAGACTTTGTATCTTTTATGAAATCGTTGTAAAATCGTTGCAATTTACGACGATTTTACGACGATTTGATTTTTTTTTAAAAGAAATTAAATCATCGTAAAATCGTCGTAAATTGCAAGGTAAACAACGTCGTTTTACTTAGCGGGTATTTAAAAAGATGTCCAACCTCTAGGACTCGAACCAATGACATGCTTGTGATAAAACCAACTGCAGAACCAGTAGGCTATGTTAGATAATCGATAAATCATTGCTAACCTAATTAATATAAACTCTCAAAATCCTTGTTTTAAAAAAAAATAAGACGACGTCGTTTCGGTTTTAAGTCTGTAAATTGATCTTCTTCTTCCTTCCTCTTCGAAAGCTTCTTCCTTCGAATCAATCCCGATTTTGGACGACGACGGTGGCAGCTGTGGTTTAGCTTGGTGAAATTGGTGGGAGGCTGGAATAATTTGAGGCAAATTCCGAGTGTGGGAACTCAATTTCCCTACAAAATGAGGAATTTTGAAAATCTAGGGTTAAGATTTTCGATCTGATTTTCAAATTTTATATTGGACTTCAATTTTTTAATCATTTGGAATATTAAATTCGTGTCTTAAGCAATTGTATATTCATATTTCAGCGACGACTTGGATTGTGTGTTCATCATATATTATGGTGGAAAGTTTCAAAATTACAAAGATGGAAAGGTTTATTACGATGGTGGGTCTGCAGTCGAGCATGTTGCGACGCCGGAATCTGTTTTTGAAGCTTTTCCTGTGAGTTTGTACAGGCAGAGGAAATGGTTTAAACTGCCATATGAAGATTTGAGTGACCTTAAGATTCTCAGCGATGGTACTCAGAATTTTCAAAGGATGTGTGCAGCGTGTAGATGGACTAAGACTGCTGAGATTTATTTGGAGAGTAATGAAGATGAAGGAATAGATGAGGTAAGAGATGAAGTAAGAGATGAAGGAGTAGCTGAAGGAGATTCAGCAAGAGATTCGGAAGGAGATTCAGGAAGAGATGAAGTAAGAGATGAAGGAAGAGAATCAGAAAGAGATTCAGGAAACAAAGGAAGCGACGAAGCTGAGATGTGTGAAGAGGAAGCTCGTGTACAAGCCATTGTTGCAGCATTTTTTGACGAGGAGGAAAATGATGAATTCGGAAAACAAACTCCACCTTCCTCCGACAATGAGGGACCAAATAAGGAGTCATGCTATTATGATCACTGGAGAAGAGGCAGTGGAGAGCTGAAGATAATGCAAGTATTT